ACCGGGGCTGTTTAAAAGAGTCTTAAAATGATTAATGAAGGCTGAGTTGATGCCTTGAGTGGTAGAGATAAGTGTCCCATTAACCTCAATGCCCCTAATAAGATTAGAGTTGTGGCAAATATGAATGTTGGAGTAAAGAAATTTCAGGTCATCTTCTCCTGCCTTAAGCCAGTGAGCTTTGCTTCTTTGAGAGATCCAATCAACAAACTTCGCTTTGCCAACAGAGAGATTCTCATTGATAGACTTGAGGGTCGAATTTAGAGAATTGTTAAGAGGATCAGAATGTAGGCAAGAGAGGATGTGAGATTGGGAATGAGCAAGCTTCTCAAGCTCATCTTTCAGGAAATTGGAAGAACACCAGTTCCTTTGTTTAATCACACATTTGAGCTCCTTCAGTTTATGATAGAAATCATAAATCGGGCTGCCAGAGGTTGGTAAGGAAAAAACATACATCACATCATCCCAAAAGGCAGGAATTTTACTCCAATAATTCTTAGACAAAAAGTGGTGCCTTTGGGAGGAGATAGAGTCCAGTTGTAAAATAATGGGGCAGTGATCAGAAATGTCAGGATCCATCACAATGTAGTAAGAATTTGGAAAAGCATTCAGCCATGTATCATTAATAAAGACTCTATCCAATTTAATATGAATAGAGGCATCCAATCTCTGATTATACCAGGTGTAAAAATGACCAACAGCCGCAAGGTCAGTAACAGCAGTATTAAACACAAAGTTGTTTAACTCACCCAACTTGCTCCAATGTAAAGGCGAACCTCCAACCTTATCAGCAGCAGACCTACAGCAGTTAAAGTCTCCAATAATAGCCCACGGAAGAGAGATAGAACTAGCAAGCCCAGCAGTTTGGCTCCACAGAGACTGTCTCTCCGAGACAAAATTTGAAGCATAAATGACAGAAATACAACAAATTTCAGTCCCACCCCGAGAAATCACACCATGGATGATTTGTGAGGAAGTAAAAAGAGGTTTGAAAGAAACTCTCTGGGCATTCCATTTAATCCAAATACGGCCCGGAGAAGAATGAGCAAAATTGTTACAAGATCCTTCATCAGGAAAAATCGAATGAGTGCGAGAGAACCACTCATCAGCCAGAGACTGAACAGAAAATTTTGCTTCAAGAATGAAAATCATATCCAAACTGAATTTTTTGACCAACGACTTACAAGACAAAACTTTGGAGGCATTATTATATCCCCTAACATTCCAGGAAGCCAATCTGGGAAGGGTCATTTATGTTTATTTTTGGGGTTGTTAGCCTTTTTGGCTTGCTTGCTCCAAGTGTTTTTTGGGCTGGATTTGGCATAAGCTGAATTGTGGCTAGAACTAGCACTGTGAGAGGGAGTGCCAGTGGAGGTATTTTCGGTGGAGGATAGCCGGTTAGGGTTATCCTGGTCCAAAAGAGAAGACAGGGGAGGGCCTTTGTAAGTGATTTGAGAAGGAGAAGGAGGAGGTTGAGTGTCCTGCTGTTCAGACAGGAGATCAAATTTATTGGTGGTGGGGATGATATCTTTCATTTTAGGTGGAGGGATCAAGTCGTTGAGGGGAAGGGAAAGATTGTCAGTTTGACCAATATCAGAGGAGGGCGAGTTGAGGTTAGGAATGGAGACGGGAGGGGCAGGGGGTTGTAGTTGAGAAGTGGGAGCTGGGAGAAGAGGAGGGGCCACAACCTGAACAGCAGAAGAAGAAGATGGTTTGTTAATGGCTTTGGAGTTTGGCGGCTGACTAGTCCTTGGTCTGCGACTAGTGCTGCAGCTACGAGCAGTGGGAGGGATGTTGGTCGGTTTAGACGGTGGAGGAGGGTTTGGGTTTTTTGGGCATTGAGAAGGGGAGTGATATATAGAGCGGCAAAAATCGCAAGGAATTGGCTTCCAGTCATAGAGAACAGAGAGAGGTGTTAATTTGCCATCCACAGATATAAAAATTTCGTCAGGAAGAGGATCAGAACAATTAATCTGGACGCAAACTCTGGCGAAGGTTAATCTGGTCTTCGCAGCAGTCAGAGCATCAACCGCCAAGGGCACACCAACACAACTTGCTATTTTCGAAATGCCCTCCGGAGTCCAGCAGGATAGAGGTAGGTTTTTTATCTTGATCCAGAGAGGGATGGAAGCAAAATCTTCTCTTTTGGGAACGAAATCCGGCGACCATTTTTGAAGTATAAACGGTTTCCCGAAAAAGAACCACGGGCCACCGGACCAGGCCATCTCGTAGTCTTCAGGGGCCGAGAACTTTAGAAGAAAAAATCCATCGTCAAGCGTTAACAGGGAAAGCTCCCCTTTCAGCTTCCAGGTACGCTTGATGAGCGAGAGGAGGGCTTCATAGAAAGGTCTCTTGCCTAAGGAATAACCGACCAAAGATAAAGACCACTCAGGAGCACCAGCGTTAAACTGCGACTGGGTAAAGAAGGCAGTGAAATTTTTGGTTGGATGATGAGCTAGCGAGTTAGAGAAATCGTGAGAGACGGGCGTTTGGGATGATAAAAGCAGCTTACAGTGAAAGAGATCATTGGGAAGAGGATTCAAAGAAGCGGCGGAGGAGGAGGGAAGCGGGGAGAAAACGGAGGAGGACATCCTGCAAGGAGTCCTCCTCAGGCGGCGGCAAGACACTCACAAAACGCAAAGAAGCAAACCCTAGCACAGCTTCTCTCACGCAGGTATCTCGTCGTTGCCCTTACTAGCTGTGTGGGTATCGTTTGAAATGATTTTTGGCTCCGGGATAAGGATTGGCATATATTCCACTGTTATCTACGATGTGAGTGTCTCCCAAAGCTGCTCCTTTTTTATGATTTTTTGCAGGGTTGTTTCAAATTGCAATTTTCTAGTGATAAATCTTTTTTTATATTCTCAGAACTTAAGCACAAGATTCTATGTAGAACGAATGTCCTACTTCTTCCGTCACCTATTTTGTTTTCATCTCTTTGAAAAGCTTTTTTTAAGTAGAATAACCTGAACTAAACTATATGAATAAAGACCAAGATGCAACACCTTAAGTGGCCAAGCAAGTCATATCTTTTAAATATTCACTATCTTCTTGAGAGCTCATGAATTTTGCCTATTTGCTCTAGTTTGCTCGGTCTCACGATTTGACTTTACCTCCTTAGTAGGCTCTAGAAATACGAACGAGTTGAGTTGAGTCGAGCTCAAGCCTTAGCATAGCTCGACTCGTATATTTTTTCTATGGCTTGAACTCAACTTGAGCTCAGAAGTTGAGATTGACCTCGACTCGTGTATCAGAAGCTCGGGCTCAAAAACTGCTTGAGCTCAGCTCAATTGTTGGCTCCATTCGAAGGAATGAAATCAATAACAAAACCGACAGTATCCCAACTGCTTGTAAAAGAAAGAATTTGCTTAAAGGCAAATAAGTTTTATCTCAAGATTGCAAAAAAATTGATAAAGGAGACTGTAAAATTTTGCGGAGGAAAATTAACTTAAAAATTAATCCAGATAATTGAGATTTAGGTGCTCTCCCACATATTCTTTCAAAAGCATGTCATCTTCCAGTCCTATTTTTCTTTATAAAAGAAAAATAAAAGGTAGAAATGAACAACAGCTGGAAGGCAAGGCAACCTCAAGCATTGCATTACTAATACAAAAAAAAAAAGGAAAAAGTTCAATATCATAGATCAACAAAAAGATTCAAAAGCAAAAAGAAAAGATCCATGAGAGAAAATCATACAATGTTGATATACTCCTAGGACCTCACTAACGAACCACAACAGCCAACTAGTCCTATCTTGGATCCTCAAGCAGCCGCACAATGCCAAAAAAAAATCCATTCGGTGCTTCAGTTGGAAAGATTATTAAGACGGCTATTTTGCTCGCTTCACATCTGCAGTCCGCCTCTTGACGAGTAAATAAGCCGGGCGTCAATTTGAACAAATTCCGGCTCGATTATCCAACTAGCTCAAAAAGTTGCTGGAGCTCGAGCTTGAAATCCGATAAGCTAGACTCATGAGCTTGTTAACGAGCTGAGCTCGAACCAGCCTGGCTCGCTTATACCCTAGAAGACTCTGGCTCAACTCTAACCACCTGAACAGCCAGCCTACTATGTTCTTCGAGGTAGGGATTTTCATAAGTAAAGGCATTGCGGATTTAAGGGGTTTAGTATTTTTGTCTTCAAAAGAAATTGAAAAACATGCCATGAAAGGTTTGTGACGCACTAATGTTGTGGTGTCGATTGCTTAAGGATTTTTGGGCAGGATTCTCTTTTTTCCATCTCCTCAAGAGATGACTTTAAGAAAGATTTTAATTGGCTTTCAAACATGATTTTGATCATGTGATATGATCACCATGTTCTAAATTCCATGATCATTCTTAACTTCGTGTTGGTGATGAGAGCTTGAGAAAGAGGATTCTTTGCTCAAAATTATACTTGGGTAACAACTCTAGAAAATGTATATATTTTTGCCTTCTCTTAAGAAAATAATGAAATGTAAATATTTTTACAAATTTTACTTTTTTATATTTTTCTAATTATTTAATTATTTATTTATTTATTTTTAATTTTTTATATTCTTGAGAATTGAGTATCCACCCATAGCCACTTTCGAAAAAGAGATTTGTGCCGTGACTAATCCTCAGCTGACGTAGAAGAGGCTCCCATCCCAAAAACCTCAAAACCCGCACCTAATTGAACCTAATAGGCACTGTTGTTCTAGAGGAATGGAGCACTGCTTGAGCTGGGAGCTCCGAATCGTACTTACCTGCTAATCAAATTAACCAACGGTGGATTAATTATTTATTTTTACTTATATGATTTCCTATAATACGCCTTTTAAAGTTTGTCGATTTGATTGACACCGTCGCCTGTTCTTTTATCCCATGCCCCTCAAATCACATCCTCTCTCTCTCTATCTTTCTCTCTTCCTTCAACAAACAGCACTGACCAAAAGCCATCATCTAAGAGAGGGAAGGGGCGAATCAACTTCTATTCAATTATCTCTGCTCCAACTTAAAAAAAAAAAGAAAAAAATGCATCCAAAGATGCTCCTCCTCATCCTTGCGGCTTCCAGTCTCATCAACGAGGCCGCATCCCAAGATTCGACAGAGAAGTGCACTTGCTCTCCTTGCGGCAGTCCTTGCACAAACCCAAGCCCTCCGCCTCCCCAACCAGAGAATTACCCTCCCCCACCACCACCAACGCCAGAATACTACCCACCGCCACCGTCACCGCCTCCTCCCTTCCTTCCCCCAACCCCTACACAACCTTATTGTCCGCCACCTCCGCTTCCTCCGTCGCCTCCATCACCAACCACGCCTTCTAATCCTTGCTGTTCACCTACCTCAGGAACGACACCTTATTTTGGGTTTGTACCACCGGGCCAACTTTATCCACAGGATCTGAATTTCGTTCCATCAGCTGCTTATCAAAGGTTACAAGGGATGTTTGAGAATTTTCTATTGTTTAGCTTTATTGGTTTTTGGCTGTGAAGTGTTTGTGGGCCGGGGCGTTGGTGGCGTCGAAGTGTTAATTTTAACTATCTTTGCTCTAATTTTTTTTGGGTATTTTGCTCTGATTGTTGAAGTTGTCGCAATTGTGTGAAAGGATGGTGGAGTTAGAAAATTGGAATAAATAACTGTTGTCTAATTCTTGCCTCATCAATTTCTAGAATAAATGAATTGCAGATTCTGCTCTGGAAGCTCTGCTTTTCTTCTCTTATTCTGCTGCTGCTTGGCTTCAATCAATTATATTTATGGCGATATTTAATTTCTTGTAATTTATTCCGTTGGATTCAAATTGATGTTTTTTTTTTCTACCAATGATTTTATTATTTGTTTAGAGTTAGAAATTCTTAGCTTTCATTCAGATGTATTTCATCCATGTTGAACTTTGGTTTCAATCTATTTACTTGTATGGTTGTCTATCATAAATTGCAAGGGAAAAACTGAATTTTTTTTTTTAAGATGTTAAAATCACCTTTTTTTGTTCGATTTGAATTCTAAAGAAAAATAATTTATGTATAAATCAGTGTTGACTTGAATTTACTTCAAAAGTCGAACTTATACATATATGCAGTATTAGAATTACAATCTAATTAAAGTGAAAGCGAGCTTAATTGAATTAAATTAATCATTTTTCTTTGTTCGAATGTTAACTAACTGCACGAAATTTGTTTGGCCAAGGCCTAATATATATCAAGCCTTGTTGATTGTGTGGTTCCTTAAGATACAAGAAAAATCACTTTCGTTTTCTAATCCGACATTAATAGAAACAGTATGCCTTATTAAAATCAATTTCTTTAAGGTCGAATAATCCCGATTTAGAAGAATAGTTGCATGGTAGTTGCGAACATTTTAATTGGCTGTCAACGAATTATGTTGGCGAGTTCCTTAGCAATGAAGTTAGCTTTATTAGTTTAATGCTCCACTCAATGGCATGATGAACTGCCATAGTGATTTTTTTTGTTTTTGGGGGGGGGGTGGGGGAGAGGCCATAGTGAATGGTAACTGGAATTTCTTCTCAGTGCAACGTGGTCATTTCAAACATGCAAAAAAAGAGATATTTGTTGCCAGGCTTATATGTTTCTTCCTCCTTTCCATTTTATTAACATTTTTTTTATGCGCATAGAACAGTAGGCCAAGTAAACTCAGTTACATTCTTGTATGGTGGTAGGTTCCACCACTGATTATTGGTTCGCATTTAAAAGTGGCAAAATTTTTTGGAGGATCCAATTTAGACAACTATTATATATGTAAGAACTGTTAAAGGATGAGTGGCTTGCCACGTAGGCGAGTCTATTGGTATAGCCTATTCACTCAAGCAGCAAATAATGAGGGACAATTGCTTGTTAATATGATTATAGTTATTATTTTTGTAAAATCAGAGAAAGCGTTTGAACATCAGAGCTTAAAACAAGAAGCCTTGATCGGCTTCTTCAAGAGAAAAGGAAATAACGTGAAATGGTTTTTGGAAGAAACAGAGAATTGCTTTCTTTTAATGGCTGTCTATTACATCACAAAGCTCTTATTTAAAGAGAACTTGGCTATAGGGAAAGCCACAAACAAACAAAGAACCTAAAGAAAGTACTAAAGAAACAAAAGCAAAAAAAACAATCCTAATAAAATCTGGAATAAATCCTAACAATCAACCCCCTAATCCAAATTATACAAAACATCAGAATCTGTCCAACCGTCTCCCAAATCTGCGGCTATGGCCAAGCTAACTTCTGGTTCAACCCCTTGAGACAAATTTGGACAAAACCACTTAATATGCCCTTCTTTATTACAATGATAGCACTTCCTGTTGGCATTGATCCTACGTGATTCTGATCTTCCTCTAGCGATCAGAATGTTGCCATTCTTGTCTTCCTTTTGATCAGTTTTCCTTTGAACATCTTTTGACATTAAAACGGACTTAACCTCCGTTAATGTCAAAGTTTGCTTACCATACAACATAATGTCAACTATGTTTTCATACGTCTTCGGTAGAGAGCTGAGGAGTATGATCCCTTGATCTTCTTCGTCAATCTTCACATTCACATTTATGAGGTCAAGAATCAATTTATTGAAGTCGTCCAAATGCTTTCGGAGTTCTTGATTTTCTTCCATTTGGAGAGTATACAGTTGTTTCTTCAACAACAATCGATTTGTAAGAGACTTTTTCATATAAATTGATTCTAGCTTCCTCCATACCTTCAATGTCGTGTCTTCTTCAGCAACCTCTCTTAACACTTCGTCACCGATAGGGAGAAGGATGATACTGTGCGCTTTCAATTGGATTTCTCTCGCCTTGGCTCTGTCGGTGATAGCAGTGAAGTTCTCTTCAAAGATTGCATCGGAGAGGCCTTGATGAACTAAAAGCGCCTTCATCTTGATCCTCCACAGACTGAAATCATTCTCTCCCTTGAACTTGTCGATCTCCAGCCTTTGCATCGACATGATGAAGAAATCAAGATCTTAAAAGAAAAACCTCTGTGCTTTGCTCCTCAACACAAGCAGAACCCTTCGGCTAACTGCTGTGCAGCTTAACGGTTCAAAAAACCGTTAAATCAGCCACAGCTCCTCCGACGAACTCCCCCGAGCAGCCTTCTCCCGTGCGGTCTCCGCGCCCAGCCACCAGCGCCTTCGCACGCCTCACGCCGCCTTCTCGCACCACGCTCGCCGCCAGCCCGTCTCCGGCTAGCCTCCGTGTGCAACCTCCCGTGCACTTGCTGTCCGTGAGCTCCTCCGACCCACACAGCCCAGCACGATCACCTTTGCGCGTCTTGCTCTCGCCAACCTCCAGCCTCCGGCGATCTCACCTCTACACGAACTATTGCACTTCCAGAGCTTCTTGCTTCATCAGATCTGATCTTCTTGGCTCCAAGAACTCCTTCCTTCCCAGTGGTTCTCCGGTGAGGAGTGCCGTGCGAATGAAGAAGAAGAAAAAATGGAGTTGGGGAAGAAGTAGATCGGAACCCAATGCAAGAAATGGAAGGTGGCTCTGATACCAAATTGTAAAATCAGAGAAAGCGTTTGAACATCAGAGCTTAAAACAAGAAGCCTTGATCGGCTTCTTCAGGAGAAAAGGAAATAACGTGAAATGGTTTTTGGAAGAAACAGAGAATTGCTTTCTTTTAATGGCTGTCTATTACATCACAAAGCTCTTATTTAAAGAGAACTTGGCTATAGGGTAAGCCACATACAAACAAAGAACCTAAAGAAAGTACTAAAGAAACAAAAGCAAAAAAAAACAATCCTAATAAAATCTGGAATAAATCCTAACAATTTTAGTTATGCCTTACCTATTAATGCAAGGAGATGAGCCAAAAACACTGACAATTATCCAGGAAATGATAAAATTTGTATTTCCCTTGTCTTTCTTATATTGGATCTTGTATATGTATAAAAAGAAGAAGGTTGTAATCGCATGTTTCACTTCACTCTGCTAGGCTTTAGGAGTTTTTCAACCATGTTTTGGCCCCTCGCTTCTTTCCTTCAATTGCCTCTTGCTTTCTTTTGATCTCTCTTGTTGATCAAGCCGGTTGGCCTAGTTCTACTGACTCCTCTATGGACATCTCGAAGTTCCACGCCTTTACATTGCGTCCTCCCTAACTTCCATTATCCCCTCTCTTGCCATGAGGTGGAATGCCTTGTTCTACTCTAGCACTCTCTCTATTTAAAACTTCTATAAAAAATTTGCCTTCTAAAAAAGGCAAATTTTGCTTCTCTGATGCCTAGATTAACGAAGCTTCACAAGTTTGCAGCTAGGCTTTGGTCGGCTATGCAATCCGTAAGAGACCTTTTTTATGAAATATTGTTTCTTACTATCAAGAAACTTTAGTTTACTTCTTCTTAATTTTTCCTATATCGAGGATATAAAAATAGTTTTTAATAGGGAAATGTGGTTCATCTGTTGGTGTCCCTTCATCTTCAAAAAATGGAGTTATGACTTCTCCCTTATAAAGGTGACTTAAAAAAGGTTTCTTCTGTGTGAAATTTCCTCATCCACCACTTTGCTGTTGGTCTGAAAATGATATCTCTAAAATCACATGAAAACTTGGCATTCTGATGCCTTCCGATCTCTTTATTAATAACAATTTTATTCCTTACATTTGCTCGAGTGAGTATTCAAATTACTACTAAATCTGTCCTTCCTAAAGAAATTCACATTAACATTAAGGGTAGGGATTTATGATTGCATTTTATATATGAAGGGAGACCCTCTCCTTGTTGTCACACCACCACTTTTTTCCCATGATACAAAACATGTCTTAAATCCACTAATTGAACCTCATTTATTGCCCATATTTGCTTCTCAAACCCTCTCTTATGTTCTTTAGTTTGGAATTTAATAAGAAGACCATGCCACCTTCCCCTCAGAACCCTACAACAACTCTTCCACCACCAATTACCCTCCTTATAAATCCTCCGACAACCCTGGCTCAAGACCTAAATAACCTGACTTTTGAATTCCTTTCCTCCATCTCCTCTTATATGAATGTTATCTCCACTATGAAATCCCCGATCACCTCCTCCTTGCCTTTTTTGCTTCTACTTCCTTGAATGAAGACCCTACCTCAGCCCCTATTCTTGACTCTACTCAAGGGTTGGCCCCTCCACCACCTCTCTTCTTTTAGTTTGTCATTCCGCCAATGGCCCTAATTAATCAAATTGTAAATATTAGGTCCTTTAGGCACTTATCAACTCATTCACTTCAGTCCATAAATGGCACTGAGCATCCTTTATAGTGAAAGCACTAAGGAATATTAAATACTCATAATGATTGAGAAAAGTTTGATTTTCATCAAAAAGTGAAAGCTTTATTATTCATTTGATAGTTTTCTTATGATATTTAAAAGTGATCGCTTAAGTTTTAATTATCTTCACCCAATGAAAAAGACATGGGAAAAGATTCAAAAACTCAATGAAAGATGGGTTGACTCCTCCTAAATTATAATTTGAATATGACCAACATGAGTTTAATCAAAATATTTAAAACTTAACAACTT